ACATGTCCATTCACTTGATCTTTCCTATACGTTTGTTATTTATGGTTTATGTATCTTGTCCGCGCTTTTGTTTATCTGTGCGTGTTGGTTTCGATTCCCTGGTTGTACGTGACAAGGAGTAGGGTCGCCTGTCCAACCTCGTGGGTTTTCTCCGGGTCCTCCGGTTTCCTCCCACTGCTAAAGACCCCTACTCACAAGCGAATTATTGAAATAAAATTGAACCATATGTTAGTCCGGAAATGACCTAGTTTGTGTCGAGTGGATGTTAAACCCAATTTTCTCTCTCTCTCTCTGTTTATCTGTGGTGTGGTCCTCCCGCACTTACTAATATGAAATATAATAACCCGTGTCTTTCAGCGGTCCTCAAACTTTTTGTAACCAAGAAGACTGCAAACAGTGTCGTATATTTATATTCCAAAGGGGGTGGGTGGAGTGTCACAATCGTGCAACGCGTGCGTGGTCTGTCATTGAATCAGGTGGCGTGGTTTCGATTCCTTGCTTCTACGTGACCTTGATTAGAGTCGCATGCCCAATCTCGTGGGTTTTATCAGAGTTCGTCAGTTTCCTCCCACTGCTAAGAGTCCCTACTCACTAGCAAATTATTGCAATAAAATTGAACCATATGTTAGTCCCGAAATGACCTAGTTTGTGGGGGGACAGGACGTTAAACCCCATTTGTCTCTCTCTCTCTCTCTCTCTCTCTCTCTCTTATTCAACAATATTAGAAAGAATCTGGTTACAGCAGTCATGTCGGTATAGTATATTCTCTTCCCTTAATAACCAACCAATTAAAGATTTCACCCTCCGGCTATTTTCGCGGCATTCAAACTTTCTAACAATGGCGAATCAAATATTCATAACCTCTTTACTATAAATGTAACAGGCTACTAGATTCTGAAACGAAATGTAGAAATGACTTTCGTTCCGGGTACGATATCTTGCACAAAGGTTTTGCAGTTTCTTTTAATCTCATTTATTCGCGTAGTGTTTTAATATCTAAATTTGATTTTCCCTCAGGAATATACAACAAGCGACTAAATAAAATAATTACGCGACAGGCGCCATTTTTTGTTTGTATAAATTGTATTCTTTGGACAAATAATCCGGAAAACGAAATGAGGTTACCTCAATTACCGAATTTTAAATTTTTTTGTATTGCCTTGACAAATATGGCAGAAAGCGATGAACAGTTAGACGATTTCACGCTAACAACATTTCGTTATTCTCTGTACAAATATGACAGAATACAAAAAAAAATGGAAGAAGAAAAACTAAAGGAAAATCGAAGATTCGATGAAAAGAATAAGTTATTGTAAACATTATACACGTCTAGGAATATTTGACACATGATCGAATTCCTAGTTAGCGCTAACAGAGTTACTCATGAATTCAAAAATTGATTTATTTCCCTAAATTGTCCACGACTGAGACAGAGTTTCTACAGGACCCGTGGCATGACTTAGCTATATCCCAAGCCAGAACTACGTAACTTTAATTCAATTCTTTGTTTGTGTGTTTGTCGAGCCAACGGTTTTGGTTTCGTAGCTGGAGGGCAAAGGTCATATCCATTCAAATCGCCCTCGTAGACCTACGAGCTATATGTATAAGCTAAATAGGTTGGATTGACTTTTTCGAGTTAAGCGAGGGATCATTTTCGATTTTTCTACTGTATGAATTCAGACTTGATACGAGGATGCTTCGGGCACCTGCACGATACGAAACTAAATGTTATTGACCATTTATTACCGGGATTGAATTGTAGTGGGGAAATTTAGTTGATCGGTAAGGAAGATCAACAAAGTAATATTATCAGACTTGACGGCAAATATTTCCTTTTAATAGAAATTATTCACCGGTTTTATTCCCCTAACAGCAAGAAAGGTAGTTAATGTGGAAATGGTTTCCAAGAAAAAATAAAATAGTCGATTGCTTATTCAGTGATTTCTATATAGCATGGTCACAGATGATATAGAACCAGCTATTAGTCATCAGACAAGTACTTTGTTTACATGGAATTATTGAAAATATTAATTGATAGAGGGTTTTAAAAATTGTAATAACAATTTTAATTGGATGTATTTGTGTTTATTGCTGCGGAACTCGTGCTTCAGTCGGAGTATGCGTACTCGTTCTAAACATTTATACCACTTTCGCTTTATTTGAGAAGTAGGCCGTGTCTGTACTAAAATTTTCTGGCACAAATGTTTTCAGGTCAAATATTTTATTGTTTAAATACAAATTGTATTTTTATAAATTAAAGGCGGTTCGTGATATCCCTGTCTATACTGTTCCATTCCTTATTTTATTTTAATTCGGATTTTTTATGCTTTAAATTCCGATATTTTGAGGCTTTAAATTCCGATATTTTGAGGCTTTAAATTCCGATATTTTGAGGCTTTAAATTCAGATATTTTAAGGCTTTAAATTCAGAATGAGGTTTAAGTATGTGATTAAACATAACATGAACAGTTATAACCAGCCACCTATGGGGCATTGCATACATGGTCAGCGATATCACCTTGGTGGAAGCGGACGTAACCAAACCAATTACACACACGCGCTTCCGTTTCAAAACTGATATAAAATTAGGCAAAACCAAGAAAACAGTTTTTACACTGTTCACACATTTCATATAAAGTGACGTAAAAATAAGAAAGATGTTTTCACCCTGTTCCAGAAATAAACACCCGAATCAAACAGGTTTTCTTGATTTTAAGAAAGTTTTGTAAAATTTGAAAAATAAGAAAATAAGAGAATTATTTCAGCTTCAATTTACCAAACTGTTTACACACACATACAATAACAGACAGTCATGTGCTGGGTTTGTGCCAAATGATGCCCCGCCTTCTACAGTTATAACTGAGGCAATCCTAAAATCATAGCTGCCATTAAGTGGCAAGACGAGGGTGATATCGTGGGGTTTAAAGTCCGCGTCCACCAAGAAGGATATCGTGAGGTTTAAAGTCCGCGTCCACCGAGGGTGGTATCGCAGACCAATAAAATCGCCCCAGTCTTGGTTTATACGTGTAGTTTATACTGGTGAACGCCACAATACAATTTTTAAAGATGCATTATGTAAGAGCTAGATCTGCTTCATATAATTTAAAATACTGATGGTGAATAAAAATATAGAAATTTTAAAATGTTTAGCAGCTTTTGTATACAATTCGTTCATGTCTTTGTAAAGTTGTATAATTATGTCCATGTATGTATCCTGTGTTTGTTTCATGTATATTTCTATTATTTTATTTGTATATGCACATTACCTTGTAAGGTTTTTTTATGCAATAAAGTTTCTTCTTCTATGTTGTAGAAATTATTAATCATACTTTTATTCCCAGGACCAACCCCATAATCAACTTTCTCGACCACCGACTCGCTTATATATGGAGTGGGTTAGGCATCTGCCATGACTTCGTTAAACGTTAAAAAGGAAAATAGAGATTTCATCCACAATCGTAGCAATTGTACCAGACAATTGAGACTATTTAGGCTAGTTCTTGTAAAACCTTCAATTTTCTTAACTTCGCTCAACATATTCATTTTTTTTTGTTGTCATTATCTATTTTTGAACTATCATATCAAGAACGACTAGCTCTTTATCTAAATCCCGTGTCTCTATTTGCCCAGTTCGGATCACAACAGTAGGACGTTAAACCCCATTTTATTTTGTTTCATTTATCTAAATCTTACATAATGCATCTTTAATATATCCTGTTAATGTTTCGCTCAGAACAAATCGTATAGATAACAGTAGTTTTATATCACGTCTAAGTACTGCCTGTTTATTTATCCGGCGTGGTTCTCCCTTGTTAGGACAGCTGTCTAGTCATTCGGATGGAACGAAAAAAACAAGGTCCCGTAAAAGATCCCTTGGCAGTTGGAATTCGATATAAGAGTAGGTCATAGTGCCGCTGCCCGGGCGATATTTCCCTCATAGCACACTGTAGGGCGTATGCCCTTCTTCATTAGCCCAGTCGGAGCAGAACAATATGACGTTAAACCCCATTTCATATAAATTCTTTCCCCACTCCCCATCCCCGACCCTATCGCCTTTCCCCACTATCCATCACGTCCACCGGTTCCCACGGACCACTATACGCATCCTGTTCTGAGCAACCCAAGTCACTTTCTTAGTTCCAACATGATTCAGACATCTAATTACAGGAATTCTAGACATGCTTCCCCTTCGGATGGGCCGAAAATCCGAGGTGGCATATACACGTTGACCTGCACATTAAAGGACTTTCTTAAGTTAAACAATCAATCTGCCCCTGACTTCACAAAATATTCTCAGTTAAGAATTTACTCAAAATTGTTCGCCTTATTTTAACTAAAATATAGCCATCTATAAAACTTTTGTTGTTTTAATGTATCAAATACATCAATAAGAAACTATGTGAAAACTTTTGTGTTTCTGGATAAAAGATATTTCTCATAAACAGTGATTGAAAATTGAGTAAATTCTTAACGCAAGACTGAGAATGTTTTGTGAACTTTGGGTCAGAGTACATTTAGCATGGATTAAGTCAAGAAAAATTTAGATATTGTCTGTAAAATGCAAATGACGATCAATGAAAAGAGAGAAATTGGGTTTAACGTCCACTCGACACAAACTAGGTCTATTCGGGACTAACATATGGTTCAAATTACTTTCAATAATTTGCTTGCGCGTAGGGGTCTTTAGCAGTGGGAGGAAATCAGAGGACCCGGAGAAAACCCGCGAGGTTGGGCAGGCGACCCCACTCCCCGTCACGTACAACCGGGGAATCGAAACTACGCCAGCTGACTCAATGACAGACCTTATAATACAACGCACATGCGCTAACCATTCGGCCATCCAACACCGCGACGACCAGTGACTCTAAAATAATAAAACATTTTTTTTTTCATGAGAAACAATCCTCTTTCCATTCCAGGTTCAATAATTCAAGTAGACTCACCCCAGGGTTCGTTCGTAGAATAAAAAAATAAAAACAGAACAATTCATTTATGTTTCTAAAAATGCAGATATTATTAGCAAGCATTATGATACATAAATAAACATTAATGATTGGTTGACACCCGTTATTCATCGGATCACGTGACAGATACTCAGAAATCGATTTATTCTCTATAAATAATAATAAATTTCGTTTCGTTTTTATTTATGCGTCAGGATTTTAAAATTTGGTAATTTAGAAATATATCCGTTCTTTATGGCAAATATAATACATGGAAATATGATACTTTCACGTGTATGATTTATACACACTGTTTTCAAATTATCCGCAAATTTATTTCACATGCTATTATATTACCAGTTCACATGAACTGTGCTAAATGCAATAGTAAAAGTACAGGTGAAAATATGTTTAAAGTTCTTCAAAATATTTCATAAAGAATCAATAATTATTTCTGAGAAACCGACATGTAATGATTATGACAATAAACCCAATAGCCAATGAGATTTTACCATTTGAGTAAACAGCTCTGTATTACGTTTTTCTACTTTCGCATTTACACAAAATATACATTTGTATATCACAATAAAAATAATAGCAAGAATGGCAATTAATTTTAACAATTAATGAATATATTATACATGTATACAATTATAATGCGCGTGCATGTCACGTGCACTTATCACTGTGTATTATGAGCGATGTATTATATTCATATCATTATTTTGTAAATCTATACGAAACGTTAAACGTAATACAGAGCTGGGGATTTATTTGTTTCGTTTCGTATTATGAACGTTCCAACACGGCGGAAACAAACTAATTAATTCGTTGATGAATAAATGAAATAACAACTGTTTTAGAATAATGTTCATAATCCCATTATTATGAAATTAATTCAATTATGCCTCGTTCGTATTGAAAAATATGTTTTCGCCTGAAACAATTAATTCTACGAAAATCCTATGACAGAAAGTTTCTAATATAAATTATCAATTCTTATAAATCCACAAAAAAATATCTGGCACTAGAGGTCCAAAAGAATAAATATTTTGTCATATTTTTTTTTTATCCAAAACAGATTTTGTTTCTCACAGTTTTACAGAGTATTTTATCCAATCGTTTTTGGTACAAGAAAATTGTAGAATATTTCGTTGAGTACAGGAGTATACTATTCAGTGTTCGTTAGAATTTCGTTGATTTCGTTACGTATAATGTTCACATAACATATACAATGTTCACAATAAACACGCACGCGCACTTCACTAAACAATGTTTGGGTGATGTTACTATGGCATACATGATATTATACTGGATACTGCACAATTTTTAGAAACACGAATGGGGTACACGGGGTGCTCGGGGGGAGGGTCCAGGCACAGTGAGCTTGTCCAAAATACATTCCCATGTATTCCGAACAACGTTTATAATAATATTAATAATAATTATAATAATAATATTTATATTTTTACTAATTACACATTATTTACAAATATTTACACTTAATTAGTTTTCTTTTTAATCAATGATAAATTAATTAATCAATTGATTAATTAATTAAAACGTCCACCCATTTTAGTTGGGAATCGCGTTGCACTTTTCTTTTATATTATGACGTTCGCTTCATAAACATTTCACTTTATCACTTCATTGTGTTCCAACATTCCAAAATATATTTTTTGTTATTTCACAAAATAATTGTTCACAGTTCTCCCTGTTTCTTTCAATAAACACTAACTTGGTATTAATTATTGTTTTAATTATGCAAGTAAATTTTGTTTAGCGTTAAAATTCCGCACAAAACACAGTAAAAATAAAAACGGTTTTGTAATATTATTGAGCATTTTAGACCCAGTGTTGTAGTAGCGAAATGAGGTATGTAAATATCGCCATTGTTTTAAAACAGATATTTCTGGGTGTAGACAGTTACACACATTGTTCGAAATATATTCACTCAGTTCTCAAAAATAATTTATATAGTCTTAATAATATTTCTCTGCCTTAATTTACACGTGACTAAGAGGTTGGGGTTTGGTACCTTGGTAACTAGGGTTCGTGTATTTTGTCATTCTGTTCGGGTGACTATACGAATGCTTATTGCACATTTTCCCGTAAAAGAGTTTCCGCCATGAGTCCACGGTTTTCCCGGTCCAGATCCAAAATCCAGACGTAATTCCCACAACGAGGCACATGAAGTATTTTAACATGAAAACCGAATAGTCTGGTTTAGATTTGTTGGCCATGCATGGACAAGCGTGACTCTTTTCCCACCGATCTTTTAGATACTGTTCGTAGAAATAGCAGGATATCACAATAGTAGCAGGTACCGTATACAGTACCGAAAATACTCCAATACGAATCATCAGTCTTTCCAACTTATCGGTCTTTCCTCGGCCCTGTTGTTTGATCACGCTTCGAATCCTGAACAGAGAAACGAAGCCCGCGAGTAAAAACGACGTACCGATGATGAGATAGACAAACAGTGGTGCCAAAACGAAGCCTCGCATGTTCTGTATGTTTTGATTTCCCACGTAACACACTCCAGCGATGGGATCTCCGTCCACGGAGGACATGGCTAGCACGGCAATACTCTTCACTGAAGGTATGAGCCAAGCTGCCAGGTGAAAGTACTGTGAATAACTCGCTATAGCCTCTTGTCCCCATTTTAGTCCGGCTGCCAGGAACCATGTAAAAGACAGGATGACCCACCAGATGGAGCTAGCCATGCCGAAGAAATACACCAACAGGAAAACAACAGTACACAGAGCTGGTCCCGTCGTTTCGTATCGGATCATATCTCCGTCACATGCCACCTTCTCGTGGCCGACAATAAGTCGTATGATATATCCAACACTCACCATGAAGTAACAAGCACTGAGGAAGATAATCGGCCGTTCTGGGTATTTAAATCTCTGCATGTCCACGAAAAATGTCAGAACCGTCATGGCAGTGGAAATGCAACACAGGATCGACCACAATCCTATCCAAAACGTAGCGAACGTGCGTTCATCTTTTCCAAAATACGGACTGTAGCAATTAACGGCGCAGTTCGAAACTCCCCCAGTCTTCATGCGGTTGTAGTAGTTCTTGTCGCCTTCCTTTATGGGTACCAATGGAGCCAGGCAGGTGCATTCACATCCTGGGGCAGTGGGTCGGGTCGGCAGAGGAGGATTATTTGCTGTCGGAACGGAATCGACAGAATAAGGCGGATTTCCACCAGGAACGATCGGTTTAGTTTCCGGATGCGATGCCGGAGGAGGAGGGGTGTTGTGATCCGTCGTATTGACGTCCATACACAGATGATCCTTCTGTCCGTACTCCGGTAAATTCTCACAGTTCATCCGTTCCGGCCACGCGAAACCATATTGTCGCATCAGCGGTGCACACCCTGATTTAGCTCTCTCGCAAACGGACCGACAAGCGGGCAGATGCTTCTTGTAGTTGTTCATACAGATAGGAGCGTACATACTGCACAAGAAGAATTTTAAATCCGGCGAACACTGAATTTCCACCAACGGCCAAAACTGATGCACCTCGAGTCCGGCTTCTTCTTGCGTTTCATGATTAAACTGGTTAGGCATATAGGTGTAGTTGTACCCAATGCCCTTACACATGGGGATAGTTATTTCTAAACATTTTCTGGGTTGTTCGCTCTTCGCATAACACGTACTAAATAATAACATTAGAACAAAGGCCGACAAGAGAAGAGGGGGCCTAGATACACCGCCCCTCGCTTCCATTTTGTTATATTAACCTCTGTTCTCAATAAACTGCTATAAAAAGCTAACAAAAGGGACGAACACCTCAGCTAATAATTCATGTTATTTGACAAAACAGTCTACTGTTTTTCTTCGTATTACCAGCCTAGTACTTCTTCAATTCATATCGAATTTCGCTCAATAGATTCACTATACGCTTATTCTCTCGGTGGCTTGTTCTATGGTGGATGTTCGCTTCGATGAAATGTCGTATTAATCCAACTAAAACACCAAACAGCAGTCCAAGTCCACTTAATATATAGAACAAAAAAAATCCTTTTAAATGTTATCTGTAATATTATATATCGTAATAGGCCTGGCTAATATAAAACACGAACCTGGACCCACACACGGATCAGCATTGCACAGAACAGAACGTTATCAGTCTATAGAGTACACGGTAGACTGTACAATCCACTGTAACGGTTCCAATGTATCCGATATACACAACACATTAAACTACAGATATTCCACTCAATAGACCTAGTACCATACCACTCAGCTCACTAAATGAAGATGTCGAGTTTTACTTTCTGTCAATTTTACACATCTTCTTTGCTCTTATCTTAATTTCAAACCCTCCTTCCTATCGCCTTTCTGCTCGTGTCTGAACCTCGTTATCCAGTTGTCAAATGACGTCAGCTGTCAATCAATAGCACAGCGTCCAATAAAACCACTCGTCTTGAAAGCTGCGAGGATTAACTCCGCCCAACGTTTTAGTGTCGGTTGAAAGGATCTCTTTTAGTCGAAGGGAATCTGTAAAATAGAAGAAAGACTTTTATAAAACTGTGTATGGACATTAAAACGTGTTTATTTGTTCTGGGGAGTAAATAGAAGAACTGGGGAAGCTCTTTATACTGTCTAATGCAAGCAGCGGGGTCTTAAAACAGCGAGCTAGTTGAGAGTAGGCCCCACTGACACTGCATTAAAAGATAGTTAAAAGTAAAGAGGCGTCACAGAGGAACTGAAAGAATAATAATAATAGTAATACTACCAACTATTCGAGCTATTCATTGTCGATACAGCATGAGTAAAGGGGGCAACGCACATTTTCATCGATTTTAACAATAATATATACTATTACATGATACACGGATTATTTTATCGAAATTTATTTTATGTAATCATTGTGTATGAAAATTGTTTTTGTATATTTGATACTTGTGTTTATTGCTGCTTCTTGTTGTCTGTGATATTATATTCCCTGTAAAGCGCCAAACCAACCAACCTGACTGAATGAACACAGCTCTGGAAAATGATTATTATTTGTTAGAATATTATTAGGGCTACTATTAATCTTTATAAAATTGTTATTACAAATTTAAATTTATTATTATTATTTTTGAACAACAAAACAATGTATGGTAAAAAACGAAAATATCAACAACCTATTTACTTAAAAATGAATTTTAACAAATGATATTTTGCTAATTTACTAAACTAAAGATAGTTTAATATAAATATGTTGGGGTTTTTTTAAAATCAAATCTGAAATTCTTCACTCAACCTGTTAGTAGCAACGTTTCTTTTTAAGGTTCTGTTTAATTTGCTAGCTTTCAAAAATTCTTAAGAATAATATGATAAAAAAAATCAGCATTTTCTTATCTATCGCAGAAATGTGGATAATAAACAAATTAATAAAATCACCAGTTTCATTTTTAACCCAAACAATAGAGTTTCGGCCATTTTAACTTTAATTCGAATTAGGTCATGTACCTGTAAATGCTAAATAAAAACCGCAAAAAACCCCAATTGTACCTAAATTGATTGAAAATAATTATCCCACAATACAATGGCGGCACCCAAGAAACGAAACAGGAAGTGAGAGTTGTTTGTCGTGTTTTGTAATATAGTTATTGAAGTTTTCTACCTGTTTGTTTATTAGCAGGTATGTATATTTACCTGTATTAGAGGCAGGTATTGTGTCAAGGTTTAATAATGAACACCTTTATACTTCAGGTGTACTGTAGTCAACTAATGGTTTGTTTGATTTATAAAATAACACACACTTGTTACTTACTAATGAGGGAACACATAAAACCGTATTTACAGTAAAAGACACCATAAAAACCCTAAACCTTGTTTATCCTAAATCCCCACAGTAAAATTCTTAAACCTTACTTATCTTAAAAATTCATAAGCCTTACTTATCCTAAAATCTCACAGCAAAACCCATACATCTTACTTATCCTTAAAACTCCCAGTAAAATTCCTAAATCTTACTTTTTACTAAAGTCTCACAGTAAAATTCTTAAATCTTACTATTACCAAAACGCACAGTAAAATACCTAAAACGTACTTATCCTAAGAAAAAAACACATAAAATTCCTAAATATTAGTGATCCTTAAAACTCAGAGTAATATTCCTAAATTTTACTTATTGTAGAAACTTACAATAAAATTCCCAAATCTTATTTATCCTAAAAAAAAAGAAAACAATAATAAAATTCCTAAAACTTTCTAGAACTTGTTTATACAATAATAATTGAAGGGAAATCCAAAAACAAAATCATGTGCACAAAGGTAGAAAAAAACTGTTTGGGGTAGTCAATGTATAGGTTGCATATGTAGCCCCCCCCCCCCACACACACACACCCACACACCCATTTGTCTATTGACGTTGCGTCAAAATGAGCTATGGGACAAGAGACGAAAAAAGAATAAACAAATGTTAAAATATAGTTCCCAGTCTGATTACGTGCATGTATAATTCTCATATCAATTAATTAATAGACCAGAGTGTCCAGACAGAAGTAAGCCTCGAACAATTTTAACGCGGTCGTTTAACTATTTTTACGTAATGGTGACAGCTTCTTATCAAACCAAATAATACCTATCTTAGACGTTCTTTTCGTTAAGATGTTCCAATAAATTGATTCAAGAAATAAAATATTTGACCAATCTCCACGGCAGTAATGACCCAAGTCTGAATCAGACAAAGCTCCAGACATTTTTTTGTCCGATTCGGAACATATTCAATGTCAATGTATTATCTGTTTCTAAAGAAAAAAAAGAACTAAGTTATTGACCAATCGCTATGGCTAATGATCGTAGCCTCTTAATCGTCTTCACTTCTTATCTAACCAAATATGGTAATATCCGTTGAAAATGGTATCATCTTTGATCAAATATTAGATAAATTCACAAAATAATTTTCTCGACATAAAACCATTCTATGTACCAGACAGAAACACTAATGGCTGTTTTTACAGAGTAAATAGACCACTACATTCTTCTTCCGCTCATTTCAACACTTTACTTGAACAAGTTTTATCCAGCGACAGATTCTTCAATATCTAGATATACTCTATGTATATTTCAATGTCAGTTTTATTTTCTTCGACCACAATTTAAATCATATCATTGACGTAATTTTAACCGTAATTTGTAATAATTGACTAAAAGTAAGTAAATATATAAATTTTAACGATTATTAAAGTAACCAAATACTAGAACATGTTTAAATCCTTCCGCGGGATTAATTCACATAATTTGATAGTTCCCCTAGCATGGCTTACAATTTACAAGGGCCTAGAAAAACCTTCGAGATGTTGCAGGCCTGGGTCCTGTTTCACGAACTTTTAACTAAAGATAAAATCCAAATTTTAGTAGATACTTCAATTTTGATTGGCTAAGCACTAAATTCAACCCAATAGTATCCAATCAAATTACTAATATTTGGATTTTATCTTAGTTAAAATTTCGTGAAACAGGCCCCTGGTCTTCATTTGTTTGGGAGGTACTTGTGGGGTTGACATGGAAACGAAAACAAAGAGATCCGTCCATGTATACATTGACATTCTGCACACAGAGAGATCCATCTACTTCATTCTCCCAGAACAGATCTCTGCCCTAAATGGCCGCCATATTCCAAAATCAGAACACTATTTTGTAATGCGGTTATACCCCGTTTCACATCTGTCATACACACAAAGACTAAGTAAACTTTTTTTCAATTTTGTTAAATGGAAGCAGAATAAATACTCAGTATATTTTTTTAGTAAAATCGTCGATTTAGGACTTAAAATGTCGGTCAACTAGCTTAGTGTCTGTAGACAGACAGCCTAGGTTTAGTATGATACATTGATATACACAAGAGAAGAACGACTGATATTTGCAAATTGGAAAGTAACCGACACGCCGCTTTCCGTGCCAAATCCTAACCGCATAAATATAAACTACGGATGTATGGTGTTGACGAGACATTAAACCCCACCACATTCTGGCTTACAATGTCAGTGTTTTGTCTTTTAATTTTTTAGTTGGTTCTTGTTATGAGTGGTGCGGTCATCCCAAACCCGTTTCACCCCGGGGTGTTTCATCCAGGCTGTTTCATCCAAAATTTACATGAATCGTTTCATCCCAGAATATAGGGTCGTTTCATCCCATAATATAGAGTTGTTTCAACCCATAAATTAAACATTAAGTATTATATGATTTTGGAATAGTTTATCATCTAGAAATAACAATTACAGCACACCTTTTCATATTTATTCACCCTTTTTTCCGCTATGCCCATACAAATTGCCCGCTGGCTTAAAAATAAACACAGGTTGTTAAGGATCTGTTACTAACTATATTCTTGCCATACTGTGAAGATTTAAAATTTGTCAAGATTCTTAAAACTGTACTACCTTCTATGAATATTCATAAATTGGTAATTTTTTAAAATATCAGATTTTGTATTTAATCTTTTAACGGAGATTGGTAAAAACCTAAAGTCAAATATTCAAATCTCTCTACTAAACAAACAAACATATGTTGTTGTTTTTTTTTTCTGAAAATAGAATAAATCAAGCTTTCTTCCAGTTTTAATTCAAAAGTCATGTTAAATATTTCTTATCTTAAGATCAAGTCAGAGCACAAAATACAATAATCGCTTTATCGGTACAAACATCGAACTCAGAAATCTAGAAATCGATTGGATCGAAAACAACAAGATAATACAAAACATCCCAACAACTTCCAACTAAGCTTCTAAAAAAAAATGATATAAAGTTCAGGCAGTTCAGCTTAAATATATCTTATCTGATTTTTAAATGTAGTTTTTCCTGAAAGCTTTTTTTCCTCCCGAGTTACGATCGATTCTCTCATTTTAGTAATTACTGTGTGAACCGATTGTCAGATGACTATATGTAATCGTTATAGGATATATGTTCAGATGTAAAATTGATAAAATATTAAAGGCACAACAGTCCAGGGTCCTTATTCACGAAAACTTAAACTAAGATACAATCGAAATTTTAAGAAATACTGCAATTCGATTGGCTGACCAGTAAAATCAATTTGCATATATCCAATGAAGTTGCAGTATTTCTTAAAATTTCGGTTGTAACTTAGTTTAAGTTTTCGTGAATAAGGGCCCAGGTTGTTCACATCTATCTCAAAAATATAAAAACATGTTCAACATTTTAAAGGTGAAGTGTTGTTTTTATGTATTTATGCACAAATGAGTATAATAATAAAAAAAAAACGTCATAAAGAATAGGATGACTTGGCTGCGATATCAACCTCTTTGGAAGCGGGCGTTAAATACGTTTTGGACCAAAATTGGAGGGGGTGGGGTAGAAACAAAAAGAAGCAATAGTTGGATTATGTATGCCATTGTATGATTTTAAACTCTATATTTTTACCGTAAGATGCTGGCTTGCTAGCCTTGGGGTCAGGTGTTCGATCCCTGCATTGGCCGAGAAAGTTCATCCAGATTTTCCGGCGTGGTTCCCCCTCGTCAGTGATGCAGGACGGAGGGCCTGACA